CATGTTGTTGCACTAGAATAATTAGTGTGCGGACTATTTTCATTTATATAGTGCTCTGTGAACACAAATTAGTTAGCATAAATCAGTTAAATGATGAAAAATTAGGTGTCTATTTACTTGTAACCACTCAGTGTATATATATATATATATATAAATTAAAATATTGAGATGTGATTAAGAACAAATTTCCAGCTGGTTAGATGTTAATTATTAAATGAAAGATAAAATATTTAATATTCAAGAAGGCTTGAATAGGGCTCTTTATTAAAAGTTTGTATATATAAGAAAAAGGCTATTTAGGCAGGCATTAGATGAATTGTATGAATGGGATACAGATAAAGTTTTGTTTTGATAACTTTACACAAATTGACACTTTTTTAAAATAACCAACTGTTGTAAAATTATTTCATACAATCTATTTCTACAAAAAAATAGTAGATGTAAAGGGTCAATTTGGGTCACTTTACCAATATATTGGACAGTTGATGATAAATTCTAATTTTCCATCACCTAATAGTACTTATTGATCTAGACTTAGGTTTTGTTATGGTATAATTGTGTACATGCAGCTGCTCTTGTATGCTCCAAATCAAATTCATGGCAGGAATTTAGGTTTAAAAATCTTTCAAGCCTCAAAAAAAGATTTTTAAGCCTGAAGGACAACTTGAGGTGGTCAGAAACTTTTGCTTCTCTTCACCCCGCGTGATGAAAAGGTTAATGCCAAATGAATTTTGATAGAGCTGCTGGGCTTAGTTTAATTTTAACACATAGAGTGGATTGTAAGCCACATGAAGACAAAGAAGACGCCGACCCAAATGTGCCAGGAGAGCCATGAAGAGAACGTCATTCTTTAGTCGGAGCAGAACATGTGCATTTGTTTGTCCACATGGCAATGATGTCAATTGGAGAGAGCAGTCGATGAAGATTGGATCAAAGGAAATGCAGACTGGGTGAGCGAGATTCTGTTTGAATAGATTTTTGAGAGATTGATCGATTTAAAGAAAACTTTCTAAAGTTAAAGAGATACTATGATTAAATGATCAGAGTGAGTCTGATGGACTTGCTAGATTAACAGTTCTTTTCAGGGGGGTTGGGATAAAATAATCCTATGCCCTGAGAAATTTTGATGCAGTGGGAAACTGGAGTGCCCAGAGAAAATCTGCTCTCACAGGTCAGGTGCCAAGTAATCTATCTGACTCGTACATGAGATGTAAAACTGAAAAGAAAATGATTGATTAATACATGTATGCTAAACACAATTAATATAATTGAGTGAAGAGATGCATGTTTGTCATGTAAAAGGTGTGGCTGCTAGGATGGAAAAGGTGCTTGTTTGGCTGTTTCTATTTTCGGCTTTGTTGTAGTATTTTTGGGCTAGAGTATTAATGAAATCCTTAATGAGAGGTGTGAGTTTACTGTGATTCCTAAAAATTTGGCGGTTGTTTTAAAAGTGATGGGTGTGTTGTATAATGTAAGTTTAATTCCTCGTATGCTAAAATACATGTACATTTATATACTAGGGCACTATTGTGTAGGGAATAGATTGCCAATTTAAGTAGAAAAATTGTATTTATCACTCCCAGTTGTCTGTTTGTAGTAACCTGTTTTATAGATACTTTTTCCACCCATTTCTTGGTTTTTTATGTCATTAGAAGAAACTACCTTTCCCCAATGGACTGTAGATGTTGAATGATAGTTTTAGGTGTTAGATCTTGTGAGTTTAAGCACCCATTTTTGTTTCTAGTGTGGAACTTTTATTTTTTATTTATAGTTTCTAATACATTGTTTATCTCCAACACTGTGTAGACCCCACTTCAATAGATATTTCTGTCACCAGGATACATTTTACCATTTCTGTACTGTACTCTGGACTCATATTGTATGTGCTTATAGATGGTGTATCAACACCATTAAGATGCATCTTACTATTCCTGCCTTGTAGCTTGTACCATGCTTTTATTTTTCTCTTTTTTATGTGTGATACATTTTGTTTATGGTTAGTTTTGGAAAATTTTAATAAATCACCCAAGGTCAGAACATGCTTTTGAATTAAGCTTTCTTTTGTCAGATAATAAAATTAACATACATATACACACAGTGTTAAGAAGCTACGTTTACCATGTTTTATCGTAAGTCTTCTTGTGTGAAATGAATTGTGTAAAATAGCAAATGGTTTGTCTTTAAGTAAATCAACAAACAATGTACAATTAGATACAGATGAAATATTAGTCATGATTCAGTTGTAGCATTGGATGTGGAACTTCTAGA